TTGCTGAGCCTGCCCTGCGCTCCCCACCAGTGCTTGCTTTGCAATTTAGAACTTGGAGTTGTCATCTGGTCTGCAGCGCAGGCTTTTGCTCCCCTCTAGTGGAGCAAGTGATACTACTGCAATTCAAAGTCCTCTCTTCTGTGCAGCAGACCAAAGCAGGCCGGGAATTTGGGTTCCAGCCCACGAAAGCTTGTGCCCAAATAAATGTGAAGTTTTTACGGTGCCGCAGGACTCCTCAGTGTTAGCAGCGTAACCCTGGCTATGGGGATCACTTGAAAGAGGAGATGGATATTTCCCAGCTTCAAGCAGGACGGTGCAACCATTCTAGCAGCTGCATTCTCGCAGACTCATGCTGAGGCAGAGACAGAATCCCCATCCTTCTATCTGGTTTCCGTAGCTCTGACTAGTCAACCCCCTCTGCTGTGTCATTTTACAGAACGAAGGCCACGTCTCCACTTGTGGAAAGACTGATGCTGCGGTGTTCCATCTTCCAGCATTTGATTTACAGTGCTAGTAAAGACCCGCTAAATTGAACGCTGAGGGCTGTCGCGAGGAGTAAGGGAAGTCGACAGGAGCATTTCTCCCGTCAACCTCCCGTTGTGGAGATGGCACCAGACTTGGTTTAAGGTACATCGACTCTATGTTATTTACGTAGCTGGAGTTGTGTGGCGTAAGCCGACCTTGTGGGTGTAGTATAGACCTGGCCCAACAAACTCCATCCCATTTTTAAACATTCACGAAACTTGTATTTTGTTATGAATGACAATCACATAACCCTGGGGCAGGGTGTGCTAGAGCAAGCAATATCAAAATTCTGCAGGAAGACTTTCTGACCTCCGTGCTGCAAGAGAATTAATACTACAAACAGGCTGCAGAATATGTTAACATTATGTTTCAGAATTCCCTGACGTCCTAAGGAAACTGTGTATTTAAAAGCGATGTGACCGTTCTTTCAGATCTTCCTTAATTAACATTGTAATTGATTTCTAGAACAAGCAGCAGAATTCAGGGGGGTTGCTGCAAGCTTACTTTCCCTCCCCTCCACAGTAGAGCACTATGTTTACTAGAATTCATATTGTATAATGAGCAGCCACAGAACTGCTAGTTACAGACTAGCACAGCTACTCCTCTGAGATTTCATATTACATAATTTATTATGACACAGTGTGAGACCTCACCAAGATAGAGGGGAGAAACAAAACGAAGAGGGACAAAAAAAGGGGGGGATAGAAAAGAGAAGCATCTTTTCTCTTCCTCTCCCCTTCTCTTCTGAATTTGGGGGTGACGGGGGGAAAAGGCCTACTCTTTCTCCCTTCCAGTAGCAGGAGAGAGATTTCCTAGGTGGAATTCTCTGTTCTGGTGGCTAGTACAGCCATTTCCAGGGAAATACTATGCTGATATAGGTACTATTAAAACCAAGACAGTTTAGCTCAGGGAAGGAGAGGGTTATTCAGCTGAAGAAAACTGAGGATTGATACGTCTCTGTGTGTATATTTTAAATATTTTCCAAGCCCTTAACCTATGCACAAAATGAACCCATGTAAGCACATTCTTATAACTAAAAACAACAAGGAGTCTGGTGGCACTTTAAAGACTAACAAACTTATTAGGGTATTTGAGCACAATATTATGCTCTACTACCCTAATAAGTGTGGTGTTTTTCCTGAAACAGACTAACACAGCTAGCTCTCTGAAACCTGATTCTTATCACAGATACCCTTGTGTTCTTTCTCCCATTCCTCTTAATATTTGTCACACTCACTTGTTCTATTTATCTTATATGAATCTTTACACCAGATTAATCAATGTGCTTCCAAATAGGAATAATTGCTCAGAAATAAAAATCACTTTTATTCAAAACTAGTATCCGCATAGGGACTTATTCTAGATTTGCTAATGCGAAATAGATTATTTCACAATAGAGATTTTGGTAATTTTCCCTGTGTAGACAACCCCTGGGGTACTTATATGGTCCCATCACCATATATCTGAGCATCTTTAATGTATTTATCCTCAGGCTCCCTTTACAGGTGGGGAGTACTATTATCCCCATTGTATGGCATGGGAACGGAGGCACAGGAAGACTAAGGCCATGTCTGCATTATGGGTGCTATACCTGAAGAGGTTTCGTACAGCAACAGGATGTGCTTTTCTCCTGCTGTAATTAATGCACGTCCCAGAACAATGGTAGCTAAATCAGTGGAAGAATTTTTCTCTTCATCTAGCTACATCTGTACTGGGAGCGAGGCTGGCTGAGCTATAGGCACTCAGGGGTGCAAAAGCCATCATTCTGCTGACCCAACTTTTGAATGGCGACCAAGCCTGAGTGACTTGCCCAAGGTCACATAGGAAGTCTGTGGCAGGACAGACAACCTAGGCTGTGCATCCCAAAACCCAGGCTAGTACCCTAGGAACTGTAAACACTCTCTGTTCCTTCCCTTACCTTGAGTTAGACTATAAACTCCTTCGGGCTGGGACCTTGCTTCCCTTTTGTCTAGAGAGCATTTAACTTCATACAACGGGGTCCCAATATGAACCGAGACCCTCACTGCTCCAACATGGATTTGTACTGCAGTAGTACCTCAGAGCCCCAGGCATGGCTCTATCTGACTGGGGAGTTGTACAAACACAGAGACACTTCTGGCCCAACGGTCTCATTCAAGGTAATAGTTCAGATACGGTGAGCACAGTAAGAAACTACATACGAATTTTTTTCAGTCTGCAATTCCAAAATGTGCTTTATATATTTGATTTCAAAGAGTTGGAGAATCATTAGATTGTACCTCAAAACAGACACCTGAAATGCTGCCCTCAGAAAGAGGACAGAAGTGCTGCTACCCCCATAACCCTGACAAATGGAGTCAGAAGCTTATTGAATCATAGAATACTAGGGCTGGAAGGGACCTCGAGAGGTCATCGAGTCCAGTCCCCTGCCCTCATGGCAGGACCAAATACTGCCTAGACCATCCCTATTGACATTTATCTAACCTGCTCTTAAATATCTCCACAGATGGGGATTCCACAACCTCCCTGGGCAATTTATTCCAGTGTTTAACCACCCTGACAGTTAGGAACTTTTTCCTAATGTCCAACCTAAACCTCCCTTGCTGCAGTTTAAGCCCATTGCTTCTTGTTCGATCCTCAGAGGCCAAGATAAACAAGTTTTCTCCCTCCTCCTTATGACACCCTTTTAGATACCTGAAAACGGCTATCATGTCCCCCCTCAGTCTTTTCTTTTCTAAACTAAACAAACCCAATTCCTTCAGCCTTCCCTCATAGGTCATGTTCTCTAGACCTTTAATCCACCTTTAATCATTCTTGTTGCTCTTCTCTGGACCCTCTCCAATTCCTCCACATCTTTCTTGAAATGTGGTGCCCAGAACTGGACACAATACTCCAGCTGAGGCCTAACCAGCGCAGAGTAGAGTGGAAGAATGACTTCTCGTGTCTTGCTCACAACACACCTGTT